CCCTGGGCGGTGCGCGCGCGGGGTTCGCCCCCGGGCGGTGCGGGGCCCTGGGCGGTGCGCGCGCGCGGGGTTCGCCCCTGGACGGTGCGGGGCCCTGGGCGGTGCGCGCGCGGGGCCGCGTGTGCCCCAAAGGGGCCGGGATCGCGGTCAGTGAGCGCCTCCCCGGCGCGCGCCTTGGCAATGGAAACAAGTCGGAGCAGATCGTTCAAGTAATTTCTTTCAGATGTGTCTGTAGCAGAAGTTTGCCTTGTACATAACAAAAGTAGTTATTTTCTTATGTTTGTGTTGATCTTCAATAAATATCGCTAATGCTGTTCGTTGAGTGCCCACTGTATATAAAGAAGCCTATCTGCTTACCATATGCATCTGATTTGTCGCCGCTCGTTTTTTGGCAGAACTAGAATCCCGTCCAAATTGGTCATCAGAATTCTTGCTTTTTTTGTAACTAGAATCCCGTCCAAATTGGTCATCAGAATTCTTGCTTTTTTTGTACTGTGCTGCGGGCTTTGCAGTTTTCATTGTTTTTTTTTTTTTTTTTAATTTTTTTTTTTTTTTTGAGAGAGAGAATGGTAGAGAGAGAGCATGAGGAGGAGGAAGGTCAGGGAGAAGCAGACGCCCCGCTGAGCAGGGAGCCCGATGCGGGACTCGATCCCGGGACTCCAGGGTCATGACCTGAGCCGAAGGCAGTCTCCTAACCGACTGAGCCACCCAGGCGCCCTCATTGTTTCTTATAATGTGCATGAAAGTCTTGTGTGGTAGATATGGTTAATTTCATTTTACAAGAAACTAGTAATTAAGAACTCTCATTTTAAAAATAAAAATACAAAGCAACAACTTTTTTGTTTTGAATTAATTGTAGATTATTATGCAGTTGTAAGAAATTACAGAGAGGGGACGCCTGAGTAGCTCAGTTGGTTAAGCGTCTGCTTTTGGCTCATGCCCCGCATCGGGCTCCCTGCTCCGCGGGAAGCCTGCTGCTCCCTCTCCCACTCCCCTGCTTGTGTTCCGTCTCTCGCCATCTCTCTCTCTGTCAAATTAATTAATAAATAAAAATCTTAAAAAAATGAAATCTTAAAAAAGAAAAGAAATTACACAGAGTGATCCCATACACCCATAAGCCAGTTCCCCCCAGTGGTAACATCTTAGTTACTAAAACGCTAGGTCACAGCCAGGAAATTGATGTTCATGCAATGCATGGATACTCAGTTGCGTATGTGCGTGTATTTAGTTCTGTGCACCTTGTGTGTTTGTGACCACCACCACAGTTAAGACACAGAACAATTCTACTCCCAGGACCTCTCATGCTACCCTTTTATAGCCACAGCCACCTTCATTCCTCCCTCTTCCTCATCCATGGCAGCTACTAATCTGTTCTCCACCTCTTAATTTTATTTCAAGAACTCTACGGAAGTTGCATTATAAAGTGTATAATTTGGGGGGATTGGCTTTTTTCACTCAGCATAATGCCGTTGAGATCCATCCAGGTTATTGCATGAATCAGTAAGTTTTTTCTATTTTATTGATGGATAGTATTCCGTGGGATGGATATGACGTAGGTTAATTATTTATCTGTGGGTACTATCTCAGTTGTTTCTGCTTTTTGGCTGTAATGAATAAAGTGGTATGAATGTTCACACAGGAGTTTTTGTATGAATGTGAGTTTTCCTTCCTCTGGGATAAATGCCCAGGAAGGGGGCAGAGGGAGAGAGAGAATCTTAAGCAGGCTCCATTCCCAGCGTGGAGCCCAATGCAGGGCTCAGTCTCACGACCCTGAGATCATGACCTGAGCCAAAATCAAGAGTCGGGCACTGAGCTGACTGAGCCACCCAGGTGCCCCTGTACATTTTTAATATCCCATAAGGCAGCAGCATCTAGCCATGATGGTTGTTTTTATCAGTGTCCTGGTTACAGAGTTGAATGGGTTTTGAGGCTGCTGCCCCAGTCATGTTTCCCATGAGTTCTGTTACTTTAATGAACTGTTTTGCCAAATACAAGGTTTTTCAGGGATGCATCTACTGTGTTGCATCCAAAATGCTTACACTGGTTGGACTGAGGGTTTCGGGAATAGATAAGAGTCATGATCAGTGAAGATAGGATTTCCCTCCTTTTATTCAGGGATGACGGCCCCTCTTCCTCTGTCTCGGCACTTAAGCGCCTGGAGCGCAGTCAGTGGACAGATAAGATGGATTTGCGGTTTGGTTTTGAGAGACTCAAGGAGCCTGGTGAGAAGACAGGCTGGCTCATCAACATGCACCCTGTAAGAACCTGGGCGGCTGCTGGCTCAGGCCTTTGAAGGGTGGGTGGTGCGGGTGGAGGTGGGCTTGTTGGTAGCTCTCCTCCTTTCTTCTTCAACATCACTGGGCTGTAAAGAAGCTACTGGGAAAACAAAGCTCACGGGGTTCCCTGTTAACCTATAAAAAATTTTCAAGAATGAGGGAGAGATTGAGAGAAATCCACACTTGGAAGATGTTGTGATGCAGTTCTTGTGAATGGGGAATGTTTATGTGGGGGTGGAGAAAGATTTTGTTCGGTGCTCAGTTTCCCAAAGAGGAGGAGCAAGAGGGTTCTTGTACTGCGTAGGGGATAACTTGGTGCCCGTGTTCACTGATTCTCTTGTAGACTGAGATTTTAGATGAAGACAAACGCTTAGTCAGTGCAGTGGATTACTACTTTATTCAAGATGATGGGAGCAGATTTAAGGTAAGGCCTTGAACCCCAAGAAGCTAAGACCCACTCAGTGATGAGATGTAGCTGGGTCCAAAGTGGTAGGTGTTCGTTTAAGTGGGAGGAGAGGGGTTGAGAGGCTTCTGGTGTGCAGCTGCCCGAAGCCTGTTGGGGATGTGGACCCCTTGGAGCCACATGGGTCACCATTTACGATGTCATAAGAGAACCAGCTTGGAAAGACTGAGGGAGGAGTAGTTTTGTCTCTCTCAGACTTTTGCCCCTGCCGTATTGGCAGGTGCTAATTCCGGACTACGTCACCTTGTAAGAGATGTCAAGGTCAAAGATACGTTAGATCTGGGCAGCTTGTGGGGATAGCAGCAAACAGCCTGTCTTCACTTATCTCCCTTTTTTCTTTCTCATTGCCCCTGAATGGGTTCGTGGCTCTTGCAGGTGGCCTTGCCCTACAAGCCATATTTCTACATTGCAACCAGAAAGGTCAGTCTGTGGTCCATAGAATTAGGTCACACGACCTGTGCCGCATTTTATGGGTATGTGTGTGTGTGTGTGTGTGTGCGCGTATGTGTTTCAGAACTGAAAGTAAAGGGGCCTCTATAGAAACGGGCAAAGAAGACAGCAGATTTTACTAATAGGAAGTTCTTTCATTTTGATCTCGATTTAGGGTTGTGAACGAGAAGTTTCATCTTTTCTCTCCAAGAAGTTTCAGGGTAAAATTGCTAAAACAGAGACTGTCCCCAAAGAGGATCTGGACTTGGTGAGTATCACCTGGACCAACCAGGGTAAATGAGTTTGGTCTACCTTGCCCCTGGGGTGAGATGGAAGAGGCCAAGTTTAGCACCTGTGGGATGGTGTACGGATGATGGGGCTTTGGTGACTGTCCATACGTCCTCGTAGAGAACTCTGGTGGTTTAGTTGTGCCACGTGCAGAGTTGGACAAGATGCCTTGGACTTGCGAACATTTCTACTCATGTATTTACCTTTGAGTTGTTCTCCCCTTATTTTCTTACCCCAATAAAGTCCTTTTTCTCTTGAACTCATGAGTACAATCTCATCACTTTGTAGCCAAATCACTTGGTGGGTTTGAAGCGAAATTACATTAAGCTGTCTTTCAACACCGTGGAGGATCTTGTCAGAGTGAGGAAGGATGTCTCCCCTGCCGTGAAGAAGAACCGGGAGCAGGGCCATGCCAGTGATACCTACACAGCTATGCTCTCCAGGTAAGCCTTCTTGTAAGCGGAGCCCCCAGGCAGTCCACAAGGACTGTTTCCCATGTTTCC